TTTTTGCTGCGACTTTGCGTCATTTTCGGCACGAAATTAGGTGGTGTTTTGCTGTTTCGAGTGAGTTTCGAAAAAGATGTCTAGCTGTTGGTTTCTCTAAGATTTTCTAGGATTTCAGAAGACACGTTAGGCAGTTTTTTGCTGCGACTTTGCGTCATTTTCGGCACGAAATTAGGTGGTGTTTTGCTGTTTCGAGTAAGTTTCGAAAAAGTAGCTAGCCGGCAGCAGCAGCAGCAGCGGACGACAGCACCAGCACCGGCATCAGCGGACGACAGCACCAGCACCGGCAGCTGCAGGATTTTCTGGGATTTGTAGTCTAAGATTCTCTAGGATTTTCTAGGATTTCAGAAGACACGTTAGGCAGTTTTTTGCTGCGATTTTGCGTCCTTTTCGGCACGAAATTAGGTGGTGTTTTGCTGTTTCGAGTGAGTTTCGAAAAAGATGTCTAGCTGTTGGTTTCTCTAAGATTTTCTAGGATTTATAGTCTAGGACCTAGTCTAGGATTCTCTATTTAGGATTCTCTAGGATTTTCTAGGATTTCAGAAGACACGTTAGGCAGTTTTTTGCTGCGATTTTGCGTCCTTTTCGGCACGAAATTAGGTGGTGTTTTGCTGTTTCGAGTGAGTTTCGAAAAAGATGTCTAGCTGTTGGTTTCTCGAAGATTTTCTAGGATTTCAGAAGACACGTTAGGCAGTTTTTTGCTGCGATTTTGCGTCCTTTTCGGCACGAAATTAGGTGGTGTTTTGCTGTTTCGAGTGAGTTTCGAAAAAGATGTCTAGCTGTTGGTTTCTCTAAGATTTTCTAGGATTTATAGTCTAGGACCTAGTCTAGGATTCTCTAGGATTTTCTGGGATTTCAAAAGACACGTTAGGCAGTTTTTTGCTGCGACTTTGCGTCATTTTCGGCACGAAATTAGGTGGTGTTTTGCTGTTTCGAGTAAGTTTCGAAAAAGATGTCTAGCTGTTGGTTTCTCGCCTTGGAGGCTGGTTGATGGCACAGCAGGAGCAGCAGCAGCGCAGGAACAGCAAGAGCAGCAGCAGCAGCAGCAGCAGCATCATCAGCGGACGACAGCACCAGCACCGGCATCAGCGGACGACAGCACCAGCACCGGCAGCTGCAGGATTTTCTGGGATTTATAGTCTAAGATTCGCTAGGATTGTCTAGGATTTCAGAAGACACGTTAGGCAATTTTTTGCTGCGATTTTGCGTCCTTTTCGGCGCGAAATTGGGTGGTGTTTTGCTGTTTCGAGTGAGTTTCGAAAAAGATGTCTAGCTGTTGGTTTCTCGAAGATTTTCTAGGATTTATAGTCTAGGACCTAGTCTAGGATTTCTCTAGGAATTTTCTAGGATTTCAGAAGACACGTTAGGCAGTTTTTTGCTGCGATTTTGCGTCATTTTCGGCACGAAATTAGGTGGTGTTTTGCTGTTTCGAGTGAGTTTCGAAAAAGATGTCTAGCTGTTGGTTTCTCTAAGATTTTCTAGGATTTATAGTCTAGGACCTAGTCTAGGATTCTCTAGGATTTTCTAGGATTTCAGAAGACGCGTTAGGCAGTTTTTTGCTGCGACTTTGCGTCATTTTCGGCACGAAATTAGGTGGTGTTT